CCACGCCGGGGTTCGAACCCGAGACCCTCCGAACTCTTGACGGACGCTCTACCAATTGCTACGCCTCCAGTTCCGGTACACTTTACTATTCTATAATTAATTAACATCAACTTATACAATTAATACGGCTTCAAATAGAGACCGTGGTCGTACTTGTCTATGACTGTAAAATGCCCAACAACAACTTAGAATAGGACTTGAGTCGGCTAAATGTTAAGCGAACTCTACATATCTACATCTGTTTAAGTCACTTACCTGTTATTGTAGGGGTAGACATTAGGTCGCCGGCTGATTCGGCGATGCTCGGGTTCCAGCATATTCACAGCAAAAATCCTATCGTTAAATAACGTTTACGTTTCCTCTGTGATTTTTACTTATAACACTCTGCGTCTGTGATACCCGCCCATGACAATCAAGCATACAACTGCATCCATTGATTATGACGTCATAATGCAGCGACATTCACTTGACGACGAAAAATTCTTGCCCCCGCGTCTGGGTTTACCAAACGCTTGAAAAGTATTGATAGGAGCTTTAAAGAAACATTATTGAAAACAATTGATAAATTCACTGACGAGTTCAGTGGTGTACGTGGTTAAATATTTATATCAATAAAAGTTCACAATGAAGTAGGGCTACTCAACATTGTCGGCTGTCGGATCGAACAACGGCTGTCTTTTTCAGAACATGTGCGGAAACTCATATATAGATTGTTAATTTTGAAGGTTCTTTTACAAGATTCGTTTTAATCTGTGCATGATTCAAAATGCTATATTTGTTGTGTATCAGCGGTGTATAAATCAATACTGTATGCATACTTAAAGTACGGCGACGATCGGGGAACGAATTGCATTGTATACAATATTCAAAAACAAGACCGAAAATGTATTCTTTGTAAAAATGATCTAGGCGACGAATTTCATTATTCATTCAAATGTACAAATTCAATAACTGTAGAGCTTAGAGAAAATGTGTTCCTTTATACTATATAAAAGAATCACTCTCAAATTAAAATGAGTGGTCTTTTGTCATTTTGTAACAAGACGGTATTAAATGGAATTTGCCTTTTGTTGGGAAAAAAACTGGTGTAAACATATACTACGATCACCATATATTGATAATGTGTAATGCATACTGTTCTCTGCACTTGCCATCCATTTTGTTATTACATGTGTATTATTATACTGTGATACCTCATGTTGTACATTGTAATGTTTAATTTAAACATATTGTATTGCCAAGCAAATGGATTGGTACACGTTATCAAACTTATGTTAAGCCCTTTCCCAGCAAATAACAAGCATATATTTACAATAGTACAAGATGGCAGACTTAATTAATATACATATATACATATATACACTATTTCATTTTTAAATGCTAAATTGAAATTATAAGAGAGAGACAGAGAGAGAGAGAGAGAACGGG